GGAGAAAGATGAGGCTTTCTGCTCCGTAAAGATTTACAGCCTCCGAAACCCTGTACAGGGTCACTGTGAGTCAGAACCGACTCCACGGCCACACCACCACCATGAGTAGGAACAGACTTGAGAGCACATAACAACAACACTCTTCCAAATCTTTCTTTCAAGCTTTTAAGTGAATCACTAAGCACACACACACTCACATACACAAACACAGACACTGGGAAGGGCCTTTCCAAGTATTTAATTGATTTCCCTGCTATTCCCATTCTGGGGGGTCTGACCCCACGCACTCCCCGAGGTCTCACTCACTCCCACTCCGCACAGCTCAATGTCTCCTACACAGTGTTGTTGTTAAGTACCATCCAGTCGGTTCAGATACCTGGCAACCTTGTGCAGCCTTACTAAGTAGCTGGCTGGTGGTTTCAGTGAGATAACATGCCAGAGCATCTCACTGTCTCCAGGGCAACTCCACCTAGATGTCCCTCAGACACCTCCAGTTAAAATGTCCAGAACTAAATTCACCCTCAAGCCCATCTCCCAACTAAGCTATCACTTGCCTAAACCAGAAGGTGGGAGTCATGATTCGTCATCTTCAGCTTCCACAATTGGTCGCAGAGACCGCTAAACTCTAATGTGTGTCCTTCTTCTCCTCTCCCTCCGCCCCATCTGCTCCAGGCTCCCCCCAAATGCACTCTCCCTAGCCTGCAGCAGCCGCCCTTGAAGGTTATTTCCGACGCAAATTTCACTATCTTCCTGCCTGGTTGAAGCCTTTGCGCGCGCAGGACAAAAGTCCGCTTTGCTTCAACAAGCCTCTGATTTGGCCAGGCCCACTAATGTCTCCACCCTTGGCCCTCGCAATCTCCAGGCTCCAAGGCCCCTCCCACAACCCGACAGACAAGGGGCCGGCGGATCTAGCAGGACTGTGCCTAGCGAGTCCTGGACCAGTCCCGGCTGTGGCCAGACCCACACTGCCTGACCCGGAGGTCTCCGATTCTGCCAATCCCTGAGCGGGGCGGGATCCGAGGGGGAGAGAATGAACCAATCGAGAGGCGGAGGAGGACCCTAGGGCGTGGCTCCGAGTTTACGGGTTGCCCAGTTCCAGGTGCCGCCGCCGCCACCGCTGCGCACCACCCGCGCGACTCCACGGTCACACGCACCTCCCGACACAATGGACCGGGCTCTGGCCGCGCAGATAAGCGAGGCGGTGGCCGACAAGTTGCTGCTTTACAGGCGAGACACGTCTGGGTGGAAGATTTGCCGGGAAGGCGTGAGTCAGAAGCTGGGTGGGAAGGGGTCGTGGCTCCCCTCTTGATTTTCTTGGCACCCCTGTCTCCCGGGGCTGGAATGAGGTTGGGAATCCATTGGTGGTTGCTTCCTTAATAATCATTATGCCTAACTGTGCTTACAGTGACCCCAGGAGGTAAGTATCTGCCCCTTTCGTTGAGTGAGTATCTCACCCAAGATCACTTAGATTTGATACCCAAAACACCAGGCTTGGAAGCCTTTCCCTTGTTCATTATTCCCCAAGCCCCTCTCTTTGTTGTTCCCAGAAGGTGCGAGGGGAATACGTTTTGCTTATTTGTCACCACCTACTTTTAACAAATAGCTCTAAATTACTCAAGGGAACAGAATGCAGCTATTAAGGAAATCACCCACAGGTCTTGGAGTCAGCCAGGGAAGAGTCCTTTGTCCATCCCGTTCTGCAGTGGGAGGCAGCTAGTACAGGGCTAGCCTGGGCTGGGTGACTTTGGAAGATCTATCTCTCCAACTCCTCTTCTATAAAACAGGCTTGCTTCCGCTGATGACCCAGCACCTTTCTAGCTCTAAAATTCTACGATTCTATGCCTCTTGACAGAATGGAGTTTCGGTTTCCTGGAGGCCATCTGTGGAGTTTCCAGGGAACCTGTAAGTGCATGCCTTGTTTAAAGTGTCAGAGCTGCCGCACCCTTTCTGATAGTCAGCTTCCTGAAAGGTTCCAATTTACACCCAGGGGCCAATTCACCAGAGTCGTTTTCCAGAACACAATTACCTTCTGTTTTGAACAAAATCATTTTCAGCAAAACAGTTTCTTGTGAACTGAACTTTCTTTTTCTGCAAGCCTACAGAGAGGTGGGCTGATAAATGTCAGCTAGCTCTGGTATCGTAGTGGTTAGGAATCGGGCTGCTAACCTCAAGGTCGGCAGTTCTAAACTACCAGCCTTTCCGCGGGAGAAAGATGAGGCTTTCTGCTTCCATAAAGATTTATAGCCTCGGAAACCCTGTGCAGGGTCGCTATGAGTCGGAACCGACTCCACGGTACTTAACAACAACAACAAATTCCCCTATAAGCCTGTTGTCCTAAAGAGAGATGGCTGACATGGCATGGTGCCCCCTCTGGTCCTGATAAAACCAGTTGCTCCTGAGTCAACATGGAGATCCCATGTGTGTCAGAGCAGAACTGTGCTCCATAGAATTTCCAATGACTGATTTTTCATACATAGATCCCCAGACCTTTCTTCCAAGGTGCCTTTGGGTGAACTTGAACCTCTAACTTTTTGTTTAGTAGTGTTAACCATTCACACCACTCAGGGTACTCCCTAGTCTTTATAGATAACCGCAAAGAAAAGACAATTTGAACAATGCCTGGGGGTCAGATTTCTTTTTGTGCTTTAGGTACCGAGGAGAAGGTGATGTGTTGGGAACTCCAGAAACCGTCTGGGAGTGTATAAAGCCGGTTGCTGGAGGCCTACGAGAGAAATGGGATGCGAACGTGAGCACTTTTGAAATCCTAGAAAGCATTAGTGATGTAAGTCTTTCCAAAGACAGTGCCTGGGCCCTGCTGTAGTAACCCCACTGCAGTGGTAGTGGTGTGGGGGTGGTTTGGAGTGTCTGTGACCAGTAGAAGCGTAATCACAGCAAGCACAGGCAGCCCTCTGCTTGCACCATCTAGCTCAGATATGAGAGTAGGAGGTGATGTGTTCCAGAGAGTCAGAGAAACCCTTCCCAGAGCTGAGTAAACCTGGCAGCAGCTGGTGGAGGTGTGCCACCCTATGTGGGCTCTGGGGTTCTTAGGGAGGTGTCTGGCTTTTGCAAATCAGCACTAGTTTGAAAGGTTACTCCTTGATGAGGACATTAGTGAATGAAGTGAGCCTTGGCCAGGGAATCAGGATTCTTTGCCAGCTGTGGAGCCGTGCCAAGTGGTGGCTTTGGTGCTACAGTTTCCTCATTTGTAAACTCTGGGAGTTTTTTGCTTTGTTTTTTCAGTATGGTCATTAAAAAA